CTGCTGCACACTGACACATAAATATATAGTTATGTGTCAGTGTGCAGCAGCTGGCGTGCGGTGTACTTGTGTGTTGCAGATGAGCATTTGACCGGCATTTACAGGTGAAAGAGGTGATTATAGGTGAAATAGAGTACGACTTTGGTAGTAAATACATTTCGTGTTTATTTACCTTTTTTTTATTTTATTGAGACGTTTCAAGTGCCTGTGGTGTGACCGATTGTCTATACGGTCTTCTAACCCTAGCAAGACCGTTTCTTGGAACTAATGTTGTGTACATAGTGCCGCTGAGAGGGTCTATGTCCCCCAGGCTATTGCCGGAACGTACCCTGGTACTATCTAATATGCCGGACCGTACCTTGCCTACTCCACTAACGAGTCTAGAGAGTCACCTACGCCTACTCCCTAACCCTAACCCTAACCCTAACCATATCAAATAGTTACCAGGGTACGTTCCGGCAGTACCCGGGGGGACATAGACCCTATGAGCCATAGTGCCAGCGTCACGGAGAGTGTGGTTGGGTGTGCACGTGACACGTGCCGGTGTATCCTTCTCATTTTAGAATTGATTGCATTATAGTGCACGTGCAGCTCCTCTGCAAACACTAATTTAATACTACCACAAATTCCACAAATACCTACTAAGTATACTATAGTACTAGTATCCGAGGCTTTTAGTATTGCCCGGTTTTGTTACAACATAAGTATTTTACGGTACCGTCAACTGGGGTAACTTTGAACACGTAATTTGAAAAAATTAGGTTGAACCAAAATAATCAATATTTTTATGAAAATGGACAAAAAGTTTCAAAATATAAGCCCTAATTTTTCCAAACTAATAAAGCAGCTGCAGACGATCTAAAATGGCCAAATACCGGAACTTTGTTGTTGTTGTTTTTTTGCTAAATATCAAGAGTCCATAATAGAGTTCCTCATAAACACATCCATGCGCTACCAGTCGCGTTGCCAGGTGAAATCATCACAATACCAAATGTAGCTCATCAATGCCCGCCTTAATTTGCACTGTTACTGACTACAGACGTAATGTGTCTTGCAGGCGATCGTCCTACTGGTCTTGCTCTCACTGCTTACATTGGCTATCTTTGCCTGGCTGATGTGGAGATGCATGTAAGCAGTTACCTTTGACCTCTCAGCATCACAGATGTTGCAAAGTCACACCTGTAGGTGGTGTGGTACTGATTTCACCATAATACTTGAAGTTGATGTAATAAGAGATTGATCTGTTTACAATTATATTTGCCTGCATGGCTTGTTCTCCATCTTGTGTTTTAGGCACTATCGTCGCTATGACTACACGGTTCTGAGAGATGACATGTCACTAGCCGAGAGGATGGAGGGAGAGCGGAGGGAGCAGGAAGAAGCAGTACAAGGTAACTTGCAGCTTCTACAGAATAGCTGTTGTTGTGCACATATCAAGCATTTGTGACAGCGTCGTGTCATCCGACTTTAGTGCCTACAGTGCGGATTCACATTACGTTAGGTACAGCCTAAAAAATACTTTTTTTATTACGAGAGCTCTTTTTTGATTTTGTAGGAAAAAAAGAGCTCTCGTAATTTTGTTTACGGGAGCTATTTTAAGCTTGGCCAGAGCTACTATTTCATAGCATGATTTTGTTAAAATTTTCATAATTTTGATGCACTGACTCTAATAATGTCACAGAAGCCAGAAATTGTGTCTAATTATCGTAAAGGTGTTTCCCAAACAAAAGTCAAGATTATGCTTTGGCGAAATCGACGAGGTCACAAATTATTCCTAATGGTGACAAAATCACGGAGGCCGGGTTTACATGTTGCTGTATGCATGTTGTGTACAAAGTATGACTTACGAGAGGAGCCTGGGGAGGCAACCATTACAAATGAGCGCTGTATTAAAACTGAACCGAGCGCAGCAGATATTCATGGTTTCGTTTCTTCTCCTGCTGCGCGACATTACCAGAGACCTGGTTGGCGACGACTTCAACAACAACGCCGGTTACAACGAAGTCGGAGAGTTGAATAACATCATCATCCTGTATCCCCAGGCTCTACCGATAGATAAATTTAACCCGACAGGCTGCTGGGATTGGTGGGGATACACCGGCTTGGCGTACAGTATGTGATCATAAAAGCTATTATTATTAATTTGCCTATAATTTCACTAATTTAATGTTATTAAGTTATAAATACTAATATAAAAAATCGACATTGCTAACCCAATAATAATGAGTGAAAAATGACGAATAATAACAAACCGACCCCCTCTAACCACTAGCTGGAGCAGCGTGTCAGGTTGTAACGATGCCAACGGCGCATTTACCTGGCGTGCCCTTCATGTCTGACGGCGCGTCCCTCGTACACGTTGCAGTGACACAGGAAGGAAGACAGATAACGGTGCTTCACAAGATCTTACAGAGAGTGATGGAGAAGGAGCGGCGGCCGCCGTCCCGCACTGCTGTAGACGTAGAGGTGGAGGTAGAGGAGAGAAGACGCCAATTCTCCCGTCATGTGCCTGACGAATTGTGATTCACTGTTCCGATGATGCAACTGTAATAAACAGATGGGTTCTCACATATAGAGGAAGGAAGAGAGAGTCCGTAAGGGGGTGCCGCTGCGATCATGCGGGGGGGGGGAACAGGCCGTCATGTGGAGGAAGGGGAGGCCGGGAGATGGACGGGGCAGTCACTTGATGCAGATGAGGGAGGTATCCAAAGTGGCCAATCTTAACAGTACAAAAACTGGTATAAAAACACCAAAAAGACATAGAAGTAAAAATGTTAGTACAATTTTCCCCAGTTAAATATCTCACACTAGATCTGACCTTAATTATTTGGTGTCAAGGATTGGCTTACCTGATGCGCCACCTGCCAGCAACTAGCGCCGCCTATGGCTTCAGTGCGTTTATTGACACGTACGTCATTAGACCGTCCTTGTTCATTTAGGTAATGATCTATTCATGCAATACAAAATCAATGATGAGTACCTCATTTAAATATGCGCCACTAGACAACTGCACGTTGATCATATTTATTACAATATCTTGTCGCTTTAGGACATGAATTGTGGGTTTTGCGGGGTGTTGTTGGATGAATCCGTTTGCTGCATGATTCCATGACGGGTAGGTTACGCCGGTGAATACGGTTAATTTAACTTTGATAACCATTGATGTGGTGGCAGCAATAATCGCAGGTGCGAGGAAGTGTACACATCTCATTGTAGCAGTCAGCATGCATTTATTTAAATAAAGCAGAATGTCTGATTTGAACAATTTTTCTGTTGGCAATTATTATCAACACAATAATATCAATATTAAGATTACTATTCTTAAATTAGTAACATTATAAATAATAAGTTTAGATGTCAATGTTTGCAATTCTGATAACAAATTTATGTAGCTTGTATCTTGCTCTAGTAACTATAGCCCGCGTACAGTTGGGTTTGTATTTTTGGTTTTACAAACCCCCCAGATGGCCGGAAACGGCCCTTCCCGAGTGTTCATTCTGGTTCCCTGACCTCTTGCTAACTTTAGACACCTAATTCAATATCACTTTTAAACCCAAAAACGCACCGGAGTTAAAATAGTGTACGAACGAGTTAAAATGTTAAAAACTGACAAGATCGGATCCTAGTCTTTTTCGGCGGTAGAGTGTTGAATGAAACGGCACGCGATAGAAATGACAGCCTAGATGACAGAAGAATGGTCACCTAATTTAGCCATATTCTTGCTACGTTCATTCAATAGTTTTTCCTGCCTAGACTCTTAAACTCGTCCAGCAAGCTTATGGATTTGAATTATGGGTGTTTAAAAAAAAAGATAACTTGGCCAAAAAAAGTGTAGGCCCGGGCCTACAGTGGCTACATACTGGCTACGCCCTGCCTAATATATATATATATTATATATATCTATATATCTATATAATATATAAGAAGACTTTCTTAATACGCTCTTGATATATATATATATGATCAAAACATTACTATTTGTAGCGATAGAAATAATATAGATTGTGTCTCTATAGATCTATACAATTTGTATATTTGTAGCGCTAACGGCGCTAACGGCGCTGCTATCGTCGTCGGCGGCCAGGGGGTGCTGTGGTCGAACTTCGTAACCAGCGGCGTGTTTAGTATGTGAACTATTTAGAAAGTAAAATACAAAAACCAGCGTTAATTTGTTTATGAGAAACTTTTAGCATGCAATGGAAGCGTTGGTGAGTGAATATGGCAAACAGTAGCGTGCATAGTGGAATTATTTTAATCGGTAGAGTATGTTTCGGCGGGTATGGCTTATCACTTACTATCAGTTATATCTTCGCAAAGTTACCTGTCTTACTCTTAGGCACAGCCACAGGCACAGGCACTTGGAACGTAAAAAAAGGTAAATAAACACGAAATGTATTTACTACCAAAGTCTTAATGTTTCTCTACTCTATTTCGCTTATTATTGCCGATAATTACCCATAAATGCCGGTCAAATGCTCATCTGCAACACACAAGTACAGCTGAAGGAGTCGTTGTCGTATCAGGTACCGTACTACAGATATGTACCCGAGGTACATATATGTATACACAAAGTGTACCAGACTTGTACTACAGAAGTGTACCCTAACCCTAACCCTAACCTATAACCCTAACCCAAACATACCTCGTATAAAATATAAACATAATAGCTAAACAACCTAAAACTACCTCGGGTATATAGCTCTAGTACTATAGCCGCTTACATTAACTGCCGCTGGGCTATAGCATCAACCATTACGAATGCTCGGGACCAACTTACTCCGGCCAGTTAGCGGGAGCTATGTATTTCCGCATGTGGAGGGGTGGGCGGGTTGTGTTGGTTGTGGACAAAAACATTGTTGTTGTCAAGTAACAAATTAATGTAGTGATTTGTTTCTCGCCTCGTGTATACGTGTACGCTCAGGTGTGTGTGTGGGTGTGTGTGTGTGATCGTAGCTCGTGACGTATAGTGTATATACCATGCGATGTTCTAAAACCACAGGTCCTGCTTGTGGGCGGGTAATTACCTGAGGTTAGCATATAATGATAGACAAAACCAGATGTGTACGTACAACATATATATATATATCTATTTAATACTTATCACCATTTAAGTACAACAACATACAAGGGGTTTCGTCGTGTTAGATAAACGCAATACAGTGCACGCCTTGCCTGCGTGTCTACAGATGGTTAGTTATAAATGTATCAATGGTCTACGTATCCTTAGCTATAGTGCTCCGTCTCTCTCACGTACAGAGTATGTTTGTACTAACGTGTTTTCTCACAGAACAACCAACAGAGTGGATGTATATGACAAAACAGAGGGTAGCACCGTAAATAAACAAAATACAATGACTCAAAATAGTTTAAAGAGAGAGAGACACAGATACGATGAGCACTCATACGATAGACCTATTAATACTTACGAAGACGCTGCGTTCAGCGAACTGTCTTCTAGAGTCCAGTACGACGGTATTTATTCTCTTTTTTGGGAACATTAGCCCGCTATCTGACGTCAGCATTGGCCTTCGCCACGTCCCTGGACGGCGAGTTTTCAGAGCGCTTTAATGGAATGTTTTAGAACGGTCAGAGTGACCGTTCTACGTGGCTGACCATCTTAGCACGACTAATCCTAATCGTCCCTAAGATCGATTGTTTTCTAAGACCTGCCGGACATTCTATTCCTTAGGCTAGCCGGTAGTTTTCCACTGTTCCTAATGACTTCTCTCTTAATCCACTTTCCCTTTTATGACACTATTATCTTCATTACATTAATAATAGTAATTTGTTCATCTTTCATGACAAAACTAATATTACAATCTCTTTTGATCGCTTAATTTGTTACTGACAACAACAATGTTGTTGTCCACAACCCACCCAACCCGCCCACCGCCTCCACATGCGGAAATACATAGTTCCCGCTGACTGGCGCTGCTGCAGCGCCGCCAGAAATGGCCGTTTGAAGTTCGCAAATCGAATGTTGTTCACAGAAATACCGCAAGTATACGCATTGCAACGATAGTTAGAGGTTTAATTTTAGTAGCGGCTATAACTTAAGACATATTCACTTCGGATAAGAGGCATTAATTGCCTACCACAGACGTTTCAATAGCCGGATATATCCGGGGATAAGTTGGTCCATCGCATGCCCCATGGGTCGTTCTATAGCCAGCGGCAGTTAATGTAAGCGGCTATAGTACTAGAGCTACCTCGGGTACATATCTGTAGTACCTGATACGACAACGACTCCATCTGCACAAGTACGCCGCACGCCCGCCTGTGCACAAACAACATGAATAGAGAGCTTGTGCGCAAGGGCGGTGCCTGCGGTGTAGCTTGTGTGTTGCAGTGAGGCATTTGACGCGGCATTTACGGGTAATTATGCGCAATAATACCTAGGCGAAATAGAGTAGAGAAACAATTAAGACTAGTAGTAAATAACATTTTTATTTACCTTTTTTTTTCATTGAGACGTTGCAAAGTGTCTGTGGTCTTAGGCCCTACTAATGTACTTATGGCCGTGTTGTGTAGCCCGACCAGGCTGTGCGAGGCACAGGCACTTGGAGCGTTTCAATAAAATATAATGGTAAATAAATACGAAATCTATTTACTACGCAAAGCCTTAATGTTTCTCTACTCTCTTTTCACTATTATTGGCCGACAATTTCCTGTAAATGCCGTCCAAATGCTCATCTGCAACACACCTGTCACATGCTGGCCGCCGCACGCTAGCTGCTGCACACTGACACATAAATATATAGTTATGTGTCAGTGTGCAGCAGCTGGCGTGCGGTGTACTTGTGTGTTGCAGATGAGCATTTGACCGGCATTTACAGGTGAAAGAGGTGATTATAGGTGAAATTAGAGTACGACTTTGGTAGTAAATACATTTCGTGTTTATTTACTTTTTTTTATTTTATTGAGACGTTTTCAAGTGCCTGTGGTGTGACCGATTGTCTATACGGGTCTTGCTAACCCTAGCAAGACCGTTTTCTTGAACTAATGTTGTGTACATAGTGCCGTGAGAGGGTCTATGTCCCCAGGCTATTGCGGAACGTACCCTGGTAGCTATCTAATATTGCCGGACCGTACTTGCCTACTCCACTAACGAGTCTAGAGAGTTGCTACGCCTACTCCCTAACCCTAACCCTAACCATAATCAAATAGTTACCAGGGTACGTTCCGGCAGTACCGCGGGGACATAGACCCTATGACCATAGTGCCAGTGTCACGGAGAGTGTGGTTGAGTGTGCACGTGACACGTGCCGGTGTATCATTTTCATTTTAGAATTGATTGGCATTATAGTGCAGACGTGCGCAGCTCCTCTGCAAACAGTAATATAATACTAGCACAAATTCCACAAATACCTACTAAGTATAGTACTAGTATCCGAGGCTTTTAGTATTGCCCGGTTTTGTTACAACATAAGTATTTTACGGTACCGTCAACTGGGGTAACTTTGAACACGTAATTTGAAAAAAAATTGGTTTGAAAAAATTAGGAATTTTGGTTTGAAACCCAAATAATCAATATTTTTTATGAAAAATGGACAAAAAGTTTCAAAAATAGAAGCCCTAATTTTTCAAAACTAGACGCTGAGTGGGTGGGGAAATGAAGCAGCTGCAAAAATGGCCAAATACCGGAACTTCGTTGTTGTTTTTTTTGCTAAATATCAAGAGTCCATAAAAGAGTTCCTCATAAACAATCCATGGCGCTACCAGTCGCGTTGCCAGGTGAAATCATCACAATACCAAATGTAGCTCATCAATTGCCCGCCTTAATTTGCACTGTCACTGACTACAGACATAATGTGTCTTGCAGGGGATCGTCCTACTGGTCTTGCTCTCACTGCTTACATTGGCCTATCTTTGCCTGGCTGATGTGGAGATGCATGTAAGCAGTTACCTTTGACCCTCTCAGCATCACAGATGTGCAAGTCACACCTGTAGGTGGTGTGGTACTGATTTCACCATTAATACTTGAAGTGATGTAATAACAGATTGATCTGTTTACAATTATATTTGCCTGCATGGCTTGTTTCCCAATCTTGTATTTTAGGCAGCTATCGTCGCTATGACTACACGGTTCTGAGAGATGCAAATGTCACTAGCCGAGAGGATGGAGGGAGAGCGGAGGGAGCAGGAAGAAGCAGTACAAGGTAACTTGCAGCTTCTACAGAATAGCTGTTGTTGTGCACCTATCAAGCATTTGTAACAGCGTCGTGTCATCCACTTTTAGTGCTACAAGTGCAGATTCACGATTACGTTAGGTACAGCCTAAAAAATACTTTTTTTATTACGAGAGCTCTTTTTTGATTTTGTCGGAAAAAAAGAGCTCTCGTAATTTTGTTTACGGAGGCAATTTCGTAGCATGATTTTGTTAAAATTTTCATAATTTTGATGCATCTGACTCTAATAATGTCACAGAAGCCAGAAATTGTGTGTCTAATTATCGTAAAGGTGTTTCCCAAACAAAAGTCAAGATTATGCTTCGGCAAAATCGACGAGGTCACAAATTATTCCTAATGGTGACAAAATCACAGAGGCCGGGTTTACATGTTGCTGTATGCATGTTGTGTACAAAGTATGACTGCATGCACTGATTGTCTCATTTGCATTGTTTTTTAATTCAAATCTCGTTATGTCTAGCCATCAATAAAAAAACTTGCTTGCCCGAACAGGGAAGTGCAATTTCAAGCTACGCTGCCCCGGGGCGAATTTTGGTTGCCCCGGGCCATCGGGCAAGCGGGTTTGTCGAGCCCGCGCACCGCAGGGTTCGAATTTCGGCTGAAAATCTAGTGGACAGCAGGACCACCAACTCAGAAAGTTGGTGGATCTGCCAAAAATTTGGTGGCCAGCTTTTTTACTAGCAGTGAGTAACAAAATAGTATATAAAGGTAACCATTGGAATTTAAAACCAGCATACGCGTAACAAGGAGTTAATGAAGACAATAGTGTCTTCATTAACCTCCTTGATGTAACTTAATTAGAGTTGGTCAAATAATGTTTCAATCTCTAGGAATGTCGGGGAGCTTCTGGTAAGGTTTACTTTCGTTTTTCTTTTCCCCAGTCCACGGTACCCCCATGCATAGATCTATCAATGCTGCCGGCACATCACAAAGTTGCAAGTGCCTAGAATCTTCAAGTATATACAGTATACATTTCTTCTAAATATCTACCTGAATAAAAACAGTCCACTTTCTACGTGACGAATTCAGAAAACAGCTTGGATTACGTGCGTGTCATGTGTCACTGGTCGTGCCCTAACTTCCCACAATAACCCTGCGATATATAAACTTATTGTTAGCGCGGTTATAAAAAGTTAAAAAACACATTGATTTCTTGACTGTCGCGAGTTTTTGTTCGTGTGGCGAATCATGCGTTGAGGAGTTCATGCAGCTCTAGATGTTTTGGATACGGTACCTAGCTGTCTATGTTGAGGAACGGGTTCGTAACGCTGCCGCGGCACGGGAGCGATTTTTTCTCGTAGCTTCAAAATTTTTGCTCTCGTAATTGTTGTTACCAGAAGCGCTTTGAAAGCTGACGGGAGCGAAATCGCTCGCCGCTCCCGTGTATTTTTTTCGCTGGTTAGGTACAATAATGTAACTCAACAGAGTAGAACACTAAGTAGGTTACTCTGTGGGTTAGGTTATTGTATTACCTGTTGTATGTGAGCGAAGATTTTTGCGCAAAATCTCACAGACGTTTTTCTGATTACATGAATTCTGATGTTTGTCTGCAATATGGCATGTGATAGCATTTACTGTATGTGAATGGTTTTTCAGATGTAGCGCTGCTGAACTGTCAGTACTACCTGCGTTCGACTGGTCATTATGTGCTGCTACGACAGTGCCCTTCCATTGGTATGGACTATAATGTTAAATGCACTGCTTCAGTAGTAAACACATGTCCAGTTCTTCTGCCAAGTATCCATTCAACAATAGAATGACTATTTTCCATACACCACAGTGAACGTGAGTTCTAGGGACCTTGTAAAGCCTAAAACAAAATAATGTACACACACATGGGTTGAATTCCCTGCAATGCTGACTGAGTGCTACCTGTTATGTTCACGTATTTTCAGTGAGCACCAGCTAGGTTGTTTGGAAATTATAATCAACATTGTAGCATAGTGTAAGTAATGGTTGTTCATCACCTGGCTTTCTCTCACCTATGGATTTGCTAGACTGCTGTCATATTAACTTGCATTCTTTCCTGTACACGGTGAACGCTTACTGTGATGCAAGTCCGCGTTTCTGTCCTTCAGGCAGTCGGGCGCAGAAGCACTGGTTCCACGTGCGCAAAGTTGGAGCAAAGTCGCATATTCTCCTCTGCATGTTCCCGCGATCTGCCGGCTGCCCACTTCCCTTCACAGATATGACTTGCAAGACGCTGAATGAGTTGCTCCTGCTCTTACAGGTAGTAAGATAAACTACCATTGGGTAACATGTAGAGGCCCTGGTAAAGCTGTCATTGAAAATAGCAGAATTGCGGTCACGGCTGCATGTATCCCACTGTTTTCAGTAATGTTATCTGTTTTACTATGTGGATTATGAATTCTTATGTCTTCTCATAAATTAACACATTAACACATCTGCTCAAAAATAAATGGTAGTAAAAAATGTTTTTCGGCAGGTAATGTAGTTTTTGTATCTATACTCAAATACTAACTCATATGCGTAGATGTAATATAGTGCTTATCATAAATAGTATAGAGAGCTAATAATAGGAGTGTTTCTTCCTATGGTGCTCATAATCTTTCATGCATTCGTATTATGTCACCATTGTCAGGTTGTGACCTGTATAATCGAGGATTATTGTAAAATTAGCAAGGTTTTCACACATTGGAATGCTCACGCAGAGACGTAACCTACACCTAGTGTTTACGCTTATGAGCTACATATGCAATATCAGAGGGAGTTGATAGTGCCAAGAGCTTGATAATTAACAGTAACATTATTGGTCTTTCCATGAGAAGTTAATTCTCTCACACTCACTCGTTAACACTCATTACACTACGCTCGTTGCACTCACTTTTTTTCCAGCATCCGTACATCTTCAGTGAGCTCTCCATTGACTTCATACCAGATCAGAACCTCTGCGTTGTACTGCAGACGTGCAGCAAAGGAGGTTCACTCAAAGATGCCATCTATCGTGTGAGTGAGCTATTCAAGCCATTTTACTGTTCTATAGTCACAGAGTTCATGTTCAAACGAGAATCACTGTAATAAACATAGACATCAGGTTTCCGTCCAATGTGAATGGTCTTTAATTTTGGGGTTTAGTCGTTATGTGATCGATCGATCACCTCTTAGTATGCGTCATCTTTCAACTTCACACATATATAATGGTTCACTATCACTTCAGAGCAAGCCCTCGGACTGTTATCAGATAAAGTATGGAAGCCGCGGAACTCCAGTTGCTGTGGCCGCTATGCAACGGCAGTGCAAACAAATCCTGGTAGCCATGTTGTTTCTAGCAGAAAAGGGTCTCACATCTCTTAATCACCTTCATTCTGGGAATGTTATTTTTCAAAAGGATGGCCAATGCAGGTCAGCAACTATATGCTTTTAACATCTTGTACTATTAATATTGTGAAAAATCATGTTTAGTTTATGTTCCTGATTTTTAATGCTAGATTTTTTTCAACCATTTACAAAGGATATCTGAAACATCTCAGACCTTACAATGTTATATATAAATCAATGTATAACATGGAATTTATACCTATACCATTAATTATTGATATCATTATTATAATTATTGCAGGCTTGATGTGCTGGCTAATGTCTTCCTGAGTGTAAAACCCAAAATTCAGCCTCTAATTAAGAGGCAAATAAAGGAACAGCCACAGGCATTTGACAGCCTGTGCTTTGGTGAGTTTTTAGTAGCAATTGTGATCTGTATCATGCTACAATATTGTGCATAAGCAACTGTGTGCGCGTGCGTGCGTGCGTGCGTGCGTGTGTGTGCATGTGCGTGCATGTGTGTGATAGCGAGAGAGAGAGAGTGAGAGAGTGAGACAGACAGACAGACACACAGATAGAAGGACAGACAGTGAGTGAGTGAGTGAGTGAGTGAGTGAGTGAGTGTGTGCGTGTGTGCGTGCGTGCATGCGTGCGTGCGTGCGTCTGTGTGAAAAAGAGAGAGAGAGAGAGAGAGAGAGAGAGAGAGAGACAGAGAAACCAAGAAAGAGATAGATACTCTCCTTTAATGCAGGCATATGAATCACTGCTGTAGATATACTTCTTCCGTAATGTGTACGAATCTCCGCACTGTTTAGGACATCTGCTCTTTGAGATGTGTACTGGGTATGAACTAGATTGTGCAGCACCACAACCACGCCATCTACTGGACGTTGCAGGACACGACGCAGTAGAGATCTTGAATTTCATTTTTCACAGTGAGGTCACTCCCAGCATAAAGGAGGTTGGTACACATTGGTGCACATGATCAATATGGTTGTGAGCATGTGAAACATTGTAACATGAATTATAAGCCAACATATCTTATTCTGTAGCTAGCATATAGCGTGTGCATTACTGGGCTAACATTTATATAGCGATGTGAGTCGTGGGCTATTAAAATGAGTGCTGTCAACACTGGGTGGTGATACGGTCATTTTGCAGTGCCTCACAAATGTATTGTCTCTAAATTATAGGTCGAATTAGTAAAGTTAGATATTGGCTAGCTAGAGTCCTAATGACATTATTGCTCATTGCTAGGAGATACAGTGCAGATACAATTGATAGTACAATTGACCACACCTTTCAAACTTAAATGGAAAGTTAATGTGTAAAAAATTGCTGCAAATAGAGGGGACTGGCTTACATGTATTATTTTGGAATTGTATTCTTATCCTACTCATAATATAATATTAATATTATATTATTATAATATTTTTATTAATAATGCAAATAATATTATTAGTGGCAGCAGCAGCAATAGCAGCCAGCAGTAGCAGCAATAGCAGAAGCAGCAAGCGAGCCAGCAGCAGCAGCAGCAGCAGCAGCAGCAGCAGCAGCAGCAGGCGTTTATGCACAATAGCAGCAGGCAACTAGTGCTGCTGATTGGTGAAGGTAGTTATATATTGGTATACAGGTTGATACAGGGGATCACTTTACGTGTTGTTACCATTCAGCACGAAGGAAGAAGCCTCTGCACTGTCGCAATGCAGATGTAAGACAGTGACTGCTGACGACTGTTTGCAGATAGCCGAGCATGCCTTCTTCAGATGCGTTGATTTGAGAGAGCTGAGGATGTATAATCCAGCGCCGATCAAGATGACGCCGGCTATGAAGTCACTGCTGAAAGCGTGTAACGAAGCCAGTCGGCTTCAGAGCCATGGTGGTCGGCATGGGTAGGCATCGTCTATGTGCGCACATCCATCGTGCCAGGGTTACGGGGGGGGGGGGTCAAATCGTGTTCCTATCATTTTTTAATGGCAATCTGCCTGCATGCCACTTAGAAGATTGTTACAAATTGGATGTTATCTGCTGAAGTAAAACGATTTCAGGGACTTTCCGTTGTATTCAGCTTTCAAGCTCCTGTATAAGCTGTATATTTCGCGGTGGTTTCATTTTCGCGAATTTTGCGAACGCGTCCCCGACCGCGATAATAATAACAACACAAATAATTCATAATTCACCGACTGCGTAATTAACCACTCGGGAAATTGTCCATCAAGTCTGAATTCGCGAAAATATCTGTACGCGAGAAATATGGCATATACGTACAGTACTCAAAAGTTGGACCGTCTAATAATAGTTATGTTGAAATGTTTGCAGTAGAAAATCTAATGCAGCTCACGCGACAGTGGAGCAGCGGCGTCGATCGTCTGTAGCATCCTCATCCTCCTCAAAGAAGCCAGTTAAGCGACCACCGCAGCCTCTGACAGAATCAGTACAGACATCAGCGGCATCGACCTCAAAACCCGTAGCTGCGAGAAATGGCCCAGAGGTGGTGCCGGACGTCATCGTTCAGAGTTCTTCAAGGGTGGCGCTGATGCAGGACATTCGACAGGGTACGCGACTCAAGCACGTCGTTGATGAGAAGCTGGTTTCGCCAAGAGCTTAGCTCGCCGCCTCCAGGCTGGCAGTTCCCAGAAGTAGATTCTCATTGCAAGTAGCCAGTGGGGGGAGGGGCCAGCTTTGCCAATCACCTGTCCACATTGCTCTAGAGTAGTAATGTACAGGCTTGGTGCTACATTGCTACTTTGCGATGATGTTTCTCACTGTTAAACTTTGTATTACGCCGCGATATCGGTTCGAGATTACGGTTATGCATCGTGTGAATGTGCGCGTGCAAGGTGCTTTGTGTGCACGTGGTGGGCTTGTTTCAGAGATGCCAACCACTACGATTTATCCGTATTTTATACGAATTTCTATTCCTTTTGCACCACTACGACCAGTTTGTATCAAACTAAAATTATTGTCATTTTTGACCCTCAGAATGCAGGAAATTGCATCTCGGAATCAAAAAATTTCCCGGGGGGCATGCCGGACCCCCCTAACAAACCGAACTACTAATTTGATGGCCAGAAACTACAGATTGCTTCAAATAAGTGTTGGCATCTGTTCTTTCAACGGGCATTATCGTGCGCAATCTGTGATTTACTTCTCTACTTAGGTTTCACATGAGCTGCCTTTGTCCAGATTTTATTGTCTAGGCTGGACCTAGAGTCACTTTTGGGTGTGTCCAGCACTTGTCGCACAACGTGATTTTATCGTGATAGAACGTAGGAGATATATTAGCGTGCATTGAACTGTACGAGTTGTTCTCAGTATCCCATTCTGTAATTTTTGCTGGAACCTATGTATGCTGATTGAATCACAGTTTTAATAGTGAAGTCAATTATGTCAATGAGTGGATGCAGTAATTGTTATTGATGGGTGGATAAAGTTATGCAGATACCTGTAATTGTGTACATATGTATAACAGGGCAAGATTATGCAAAAATCGTTATATAATGTGATTTTTAACAAAAGTAAATAAATTTTTATTGCAATCACATGTGATTTATGCAATTTACTGAGCAATATTATCTAGTCTCGATATCAATATGGACTTGTTGTTGTAATTATTTTCTTACTGCAGGGATAATATGCTGACAGAAACGCTATGATTTCCCAGCTATCTAGATATTTGTTCAGAGTTTAGGCCATAGTATATTCTTTTACAGTTAAAAGGCTGTGGCAGGTCTTGCCATGCAGACCGTATGCTAAACAAGAAATCAATACAGGCCAGGTTTGAAATGTCTGTAATAAATGGTATAATTTATTATATTTTCATATCTCTAATAAAAAAACATCATTAGATCAAAGCTGATCTTACTCTGATATATGTTCACATATCAATTTCAGTGAATAAATGATTTTGTTAACAAAATAACGTCTATCCAAGATGTAAAGTGTTTCACCAAACTATCAATCGCGTAAATATGCATGGACACAATCACGCACCCACGCTCACAAGCACACATGCACGCAAACAAACATATATTTGTATAATTTTCCCCAATATTAAAAATAGAGGGTGAAGCATCAGGAAAGATGAAATTTATATAGTGTATAAATCACACGACAATGTCCCTCCCATGTAACTGGTGGATTATTTAAAGACCACGTACAACTTTATGCAACGATGCTTAGCATTCGTTATTTCACAGTAACAGATGGAATTCCAAGTTTGCTAACCTTTGCATATTTACGCTAGCCAGCCACATCAGTGGTTCACAATCCTGGCAGTTATTATATATGCTGCTTACCGATCAAGTTATTACCGATCGGTAAGCTGCCACGTAGAAAATAAATACGATCACAATTCACGAGGATATTGATCTATAATAATTACTCGCATGAACGTATCTATACAATTGTATATTGTACGTATTGCAATCTAGATAATGTACAGGTGTGCATGTTGCTGGTGGTCCATAGTCCAACACCGATTGAAAAACGCCATGCTGGTATGTAACTGCAGCCTGACGGCAATTAATGATGCGATACCTTTTATACTATCTCACAATACTTGCAACTGCACATTATTTGTGCATTTTACATTTTAAATGTTACAAAAATACCTGCAGCCCAGCACAAAAAAATCATTCAAATCCAAACTTTATATATGTATATAAGCTTATAAACACAGCAAATCACATTTCATCAGACTGTAACTCGGAAACCTTGTATTCTCTGGGCAGACTTCACAGCAGGAATTGCACATTGTTCGCATGCCCTGTACACCACAATACCACAATACACGCTACAGAATACACGCACGCATGCACTTACGCACGCATGCACGCACGTGAGAGAGGGAGCACCGTTTACACAGCTTCGGAAATCTAATCGCTTACAACGTAAGATGGCATCTAACTGCACCACTTGCTTGCTGGGTCGTAGCAGCCACACCATTAATGGATAGCAGGTGGTTCGTAATGGTGAAATGGGCCACTAGTAGTAATCGTCCGTAGTAAGCGTAATTCTGACGCAGCTAGCCTGAAAGACTGATTACAACAGGGTTTTGCTTGGCTAACTGTCGAGCAGGTGTGGGGGCGCCACCTACCACTAGTTATTGAGCAGACATCTGGCAGCACCTGCTGATAGGTGTTGAGATCGCGAGTCCCCTGCAGGTTATATCTCAGAGTTGGCACGACAGCGCCACCTACCAACAGTTGTCGAACATGCGTGTCCTCCATGAGTGAGGGGCGTGGAAGCACCTCCTGTTACTCTTTACCGAAGGTGGCTAGCAGGAAAAAGGTGGCTGCCAGGAGTGCTGTGCCGACCAGGTCACCGATGGCGGTCAGATACGGGATGGCCGCGTGGTCCGGGTCGAGCTTCTTGCGCCACATGTAGTGCACCATCCAGTTGGCAACGTAGAGCAGAATCAGAACCTGAAACAGACACACACGTCGGGTTATTCTTCGTCATCATCGCCACTCGCCTGCATCGAACAGCGCCCGCAATGTGGCGTTTAGAGCGCAATAATAATAATAACAATAATAATAATAATAATAACGATATATTATGGTACGCAGCATGGTTAACGAGGCAATCTGCGCACAGATTTTAATATTATTTTAAAAGGTATTAAAATTTTTACCTATAGTGCTTTACAACAAACACAACACCTTACAACCAAAACAGCTAAATTTAAATGATAATTTGTTTCCTAATAGTCCTTTCATATGTTGAAGAGTTTAAGAAAACAGTATATTCTGAAAAGAAAACAAACCAAGCAAAATAGGACACTAATGAAGAGCTATCATGCCAATACCTAAAGAAACATAGGACACTGAAAATCACAATAACTTCACGAGAAGTAAAAACATAATCGATGCAAGCATGCACGTAGTAGCTGAATTCCTGTGTACACGAGCACCTTACAACACCGGGCGTACGTGACTGGTCAACACTGCGACATACTCCATCTTCTTCCAGCCATGGGTATCAACCTCTGCTCTTCTTCTACCCCTGAATAATACCACTTCCTATTTCTGTAATACCGAGCATTCCCGCCTGCTTCTAATCCTCCAGCCCCGAGGATCCCCACCTCATTTTCCCGCTTCCAGCCCCGATCGTCCCCAGCTCCTTCTCTCTCTCTAGCCCTAAACAACCCCACCTCCTATTCGTTTACCAGCCCCGAGCATCCCCAGCTCATACCCCTCTTCCAGCTCTGAACATCCTCACATCCTC